CCCAAGGAACGATTCGTTCGAACGCCAGCCCCATATATATCCCGGTCCTTTGATGAAATGCTACAAAAGGACAGATTCGTGGTGGCCCGTTCAGCTTGGACATAGGCCACATAATATTCACGAAAAGCATCAAGGCCGTGATAGAAGTCTTTGCAAAGGTCGACGGTCCTCGTCACGTGAGATTCGCCGCTTTCAGCTGTGGATTTGGACGTGAGATTGTGCTGTTTGATGACACATTCTCCAGTACTAAGGTGCAGTTTCAGCATGTAGTCTTGTTTAAGCAGAGGGAAAACTGGATGTTTGCTTAAAGCTGGGGGAATCGCTCTTTCGGTGGACTTTCCAGGATTCCTGATGACTCGATGTCGAAGCTGGGGGAATCGCTCTAGGGTTCCTGATGACTCGATGTCGAAGTATGGCCAGTTTGATGTAAGTTGTAAGGGTGTTCAAAATTATCATACAAGATGCCATTTCTCCCGGTGAATATTATTACTACTAGGCAAGATAGTAACCTTGACATTCACGAGCAATCTGTTCCCCACATAAAACCGTTTCGTGCTCTAAACAGGTAGCGTCAGGACGTGGAATTATATTACACATTTGAGTTGCAAGCTTGACCAAACACCAAAGAAGCCTAGGCTAAATTTGCTAAGCTGCTTCATGCTGTGATACCTCGACGGAGGGCAGTGGCAGCAGCTGGTCTTCAGGCCTTGATACAGCACTGGAAATAGCTCAGGAACCTCTTCCTTCCCTGCATCAACAAACAAATTCCTTCCAGGTCATTACATTATACATTACATGTAGCCATCAGCCAGGTGATACAGCAAGAATATATATAGTATGCCACAGCTGAAGCCTGAAGTTGAAGTAGTATAACTTTATGTTCCTTCTTTTTTTGCCAACTAGCTAACCAGGTTGTGCGACGGCGACGCCTCACAGGATTGCAGTTGTGAAATGTTGTTTGCGAAACTATGTTGGATGAAGGTTCGGTGTCAATCAAGCTGTACGTACAAGGCCGTTGATAACTAATTCTCGGTGTCCTCAATCCTATTTTTGCCACTTCTCATCATACATTTCATTTCATACCTGCAACCTAAAGGGAAATTAGCCTACCGACTGACTCGACCCATTATTAGTTCATTCTAATCATCTATCGTCAGCTAGGATTCCTAACATAATTAACTGGATGTCCCATGGACAAGGACATACTCATGTCATTCATCGCTTTATCGGTACAGCCTTTCAGAGGCATACATATATCGAGTAGTAATATATGATTAGGAAAATGAGATGATTTGTCCTTGCCAATCAGCCGTGAGTTGTGACAAAGCACTAGATGCAAATGGTTGGAGACTTGGAGTGGCCGGTGCTACGGGTTGATATATCTGCCGACCTACCTATATCAGCTGAACCGACTCCACTCATTGTCGATGCAGCTGCGGGTAGACGCCATGAACATTGCATAGGGCCCATGATAATCATCTAAACTTGCTTAATCATACACTACTACCCCTGAAACAGAGAGGGCGGTTCGACTTTTCGGTGTTGTACTTGTTTTCTCCGGTTCATCGTAACAGGCTTTGCACTTGCAGCTCAGAAGAGCCATCAGGTAAATGCAGAGTAACAGAATGGCTATCAGCATGTTCTACGCTGTGATACACAGTCAGGTTCACTCGTTTGTTCTTTCTTTTCCTAGCACTTCTTTGAAGTACTTGCACATGAAAACAGGTGAGTAAATAGCCAGTACTTGTGGAATTTACTGTGCTGTGTTCCACCGTCCACGGTCAAATATCAGTGCGTTGGAATACGAGTTTGACCCAGCAGAACCCCATGGCTGCTGCTGTTCAACAAGCAAAGAATATTATACTGCTCCTAAGCAGCGCCGCTTATACTGAAAGTATACTAGCTACCGCAGAAAGTCCTAGTCTTTATGCTACTAGTTCCGGGTCAGATAAGAACAGCCGAATCGAAATGGAGAAAAGTTTCTTTTTCTTCCTTTTCCACAATGGAGAAAAGTTGTGGACACGGGGATCCTCTTTTGACCGTTGGGCGGCGGCGAATCCATGACTTGTCAAACTAGCAATCCGAATAGTAAGCAGAAGGGAGGGAAGGCGAGGTTGCTTACGGTGGGCGAGTGGTCGCGGCCGTGGAGCGGGCCGTGGTCTTTGGCCGGAGCGCCGAGCTTGGTGGGCTGGGGAGCCTTGGCGGGCTGCTGCTGGTGCTGCTGCTGCTTGTGGTGGGCGAGGAGGTCGTCGTCGCCGCCGAGGCTGGCGCGGGAGAGCTCCTTCTTGTTCTGCTTGCGCATCTCCCGGATCTTGGAGAAGTCCATGGAGTAGTCCGGCATGGCGCCGTTCTTCATGTCCCAGTCCCCGAACGCCGGCACCGTCATCCACGCGGTCGCCCCCTCCCCCTGCACCCACACGCACGCATCGAAATTAATCTTCTAACAAACCAGATCGCGAACAAGAAGAAGCATCCATGGATGAACAGCAGGAGGATTCGATCTCTCCGGCACGAAAGCCGGAAGGATCCGTTGGGGGGATGGGAATTGGGCTCACCTCCTTGTGGTTGTCCTTCTCCATGGATGATCTCTCGGAGACGCACGCACGCACCGCTGATATTTTCTTGTGCCGCTGGAGCAGTGGAGCAGATTTGGAAGCTAAGCAAGAAAAGCTAGCTAGATGGAGCACCACAGCACAGTGCGGGACTTGTCTAGCTTGGATCGGATGAGATGAGAGGGGTGGTACAAAACTACAAGGGAGATGTGTGTGGACAGTGACTGGGCAGAGGAAGGAGATCGACGGGGCTGTACTTATATAGGTTGACGGCCAGAGAAAATTCACACCCACACAGCTGGTAATCAATCAGCTGACGCCGGGCGCCCACCACGGCCAAACCTCAGGGCTTAACTAACCCCTCCACTAATCATTGCTGTCTAAACGTAATTTGGACTGCGATTAGGCGGCCGCCGGAGACGTCGTGGATGTGGTACTACTGCCCGTTGTGTCGTGCAGCACGCACGCGTGACGCGTCTGCCGTCTGAGGGAGGACACAGCTGGTGGCACGTCGACGTATTGATGGGGCGTGTGGTGCTCTGGGCCCGCCGGCCAGTGGCGCCGCCCAGGTCCAGACCCAGACGTCCGTCCACTAGCTGGGAGCTTCACACGGCTTTGGGATAAGCTTTGCCCGTCTTTCTTTCTGGCCAGGGAGCACGAAAAGGCGGCGAGAAAGGTCGGCGGCTCCGTGTGTCCAGCTCACCGGAGACGGGGAGTTCGCCTCGTCTTTGCTGGCGTGGGTTGGGCGGCAGCTTGCAAAGAATGTGTGGTGGCGTAGTACGTTCGCTCTCGCACGTCGATTAGGGTTTAATGAGCTGGCGAGTTCTGAACTGGAGGGTTTGGAAGTCCGGTTCTGAATAACAAACGATTTCAGAGTAGTCATCCGACAGTTGTGGACCGAAATTGCTTCACGGACGACGGTTTATGCACGACCTGCGAACGGCACTTCCACCCCAACAGCGAGCCTCCTTGCATGGTCGCTCTTCACGCTGCCACGTAAGAATCGTTCAGGCATCGGCTGCATGTTCATCGTTTGTATAGCAACTTCCGTTGCGGACACCTGCCACTGATTCTGCTGTGGATTATAGTAGTGTGTGCTAGAGACTTCGCGGGCAAGGGATTCGGTTGCCAAGGCGATGGAGGTTTCGATAGTTGGGAACACAAGTTGCTCCGAGCGACTCAGATGTTATTGGCGTAAAACAAAGAGCAACTGCAATGGAACGATCCATTTCATCCGTCGCCGGCCGTTTGGGTCGGCGCGGACACAAAAAACGGCCCAACACGCCGATCTAAACGGACGCGCGTCCGATTTTTGTTTACGGGCGACTCATTTCCGGTTCATTTTTAAGCTTGATTTACGTCGGCGCGACACGCGATGGACGCGCGCACGCAGGCCTTCTTCTCATCCGGACTCGCTGGTCGGTGGCACATTGGTCTTCTCTCATCCAACATCAACCCTCGCCCACCTCCTTCGTTGCCTACGCCGTCGCCCATTTTTGTCGGTGACTCTGTCAGCTGCCGGCGTCTCCACATCCGCTCAGCAACGCCGCCCACTCCCACGTCGCCCGCCACCGCCGTCTTGTCGCCGGGGAGCCGACTGTTTCCCACCCCCGCGCCCCCACCACACAGCCGACCCGACCAAGAAGCCGCCTCGCCGCCCGGTCAGATCCTCACCGGTACACTCTCGGACGCCGGCCCACTCGTCGGACGCCGGCAGGGCAGCTAGCTGATCCGTGCGCGTCGCGACTCCCTTCGCCGGCTATCTCCTTCATCGACGCCCGCAAACTGTTCGATAGTTTGTCAAGGTATAAAATGGACTCCGTCGATGAGTTTCTTTTTCACAATTTCCTTTGCGACTCCGACGATTCGTCGTCCGATGACTACGAGGAGATATTGGTTGCCGTGTTGGTCCATCACCACCTCAACAGCCAGCGGCCGTTGTTCCGTGGCTCCATTCCGGGCCACCTTCCGGCGTTGAATCGCAACCAAGAGAGCGGGCATTTCCTTTGGAAGGACTATTTTGATACAACAAACCTGTTGTTCAAACATAAAAAATTCTGACGCCGTTTCCGTATGAGTAGGCATCTTTTCAACCGTATTCGAGAGGGGGTGGTCGGCTATGATACTATTTCGAGTGCAAAGAGGATGTCGTTGGCAAGATTGATTTTTTCTGTTATCAGAAATGCACTGCCGCCATCCGAATGCTTGCATACGGAGTGCCCGGTGATCTCATTGACGAGTACGTCCGTATGAGCGAGTCTACATGCCTAGAGTCCCTGTATAAGTTCTGCAAGGTTGTTATTGTTGTGTTTGACCCTAAGTACTTGAGAGAGCCGACAACTGAAGATACAGCCTGTTTGTTAGCGATGAATGCCAGCAGGGGCTTCCCAGGGATGCTTGGTAGCATAGACTGCATGTACTGGGAGTGGAAGAACTGCCCTTCTGCTTGGCAAGGGCAGTATAAGGGCCATGTCAGGTCTTGCATTGTCATACTAAAGGCCGTGGCATCTCAAGATCTCTGGATCTGGCACTCTTTCTTTGGCATGGCCGGATCACACAATGATATCAACGTGCTTCAGCGCTTGCCAGTGTTTGCTAGGCTTGCCGAAGGCAACAGACCACTGGTGAACTTTACTGTCAATGGCCACAACTACAACAAAGGATACTACCTGGGTGACGGTATCTATCCTCAGTGGACCACTATTGTCAAGACAATACCCAACCCTGTTGGAGAGAAGAGGAAAAGATTTTTCCAAGAGCAAGAGAGTGCTAGGAAGGATGTCGAGCATGCCTTTGGTGTTTTCAATCTCAATGGGGCATCGTTCGGTATCCTGCTAATACCCGAAACACGCAAAAATTGTGGAAGGTGATGACTGCTTGTGTGATCATGCATAATATGATCGTAGAAGGCGAGCGCCTGGAACGTCTATACAATCAAGGGTTTCAGTTTCAGGGTGAGAATGTTGTGCCTGAGCATGGAGGAGCGGCAACATTTGAACAGTTCACCCAATTTCATCAAGACATGCGTGATTGAGAAACTCACGTGCAATTGTAAAATGATTTGGTTGAGCATATGTGGGCTCATGTTGGCAACTAATAGATGTATCTTCTTTTATTAGTTTGCAAAACTATGTGAGACATTTTTATTTTTATTCGGTTTGTAATAACTATGCTATTTTATTCGGTTTAAACTATGCAAATTCATCAATGCAAAATAGGGCGGCCAGCCGGCCACGCTGGCACATATGGGTCGGCGCATTGGGCGCGCTGCCGACCTATATCTAAAACAGGGCGGGCGCCGGGCGGGCGGCCGACCCAAACAGACAAAAAGTGGACGAAATCACCGTCCGTTTGGATCACCCCATTGGATTTTCTCTAAATGACTTGTTCACGTCCATCACGCAAAGATCATTTGCAGCAACGAAGCAAAGCAGTCTATGAACAACATGTAGGAATGATCCGTAAAGTGTTTGCACTGATCAATAAGACCGATAATGATGTTCGGCGTTGCCCCACCCATGCGGGGTGAGGCTGGGTCCGCCCTGTCAGCGTCGTTTGCACTATGTCGGGTTGTTTGGCTCGCGCAGGCGCTGGCCCGAGATTTCTGCCTGCTTGCCTAGTCAGTTGCCCTGCTGGGAAGGCTGGGTCGCGCTGCTAGTGTCCTTCGCTCAAAGATGCCACGGACCTGTTTTACGAAGAAGGTGCACCGAGTACAGGGTCGATAGATACATCAAACTTCGTAGACCAATCGACACCGAGTCTGTTGTTTTCAAGGGTGCCATTCTTCTCTCTCCTATTAGGCAAACTGATGTCGGATCATTCGCCTAGCATTAATGCCGAAAGAGCATGGTGCCGCATGGTTGGTTTTGATAATCGGTGACAATCCCTATGGACTAATGGTTGTCTTGAGTTATATTTGAAGGGTTTGTTCATAAGCATTGCTTGAAGATCATTTGTTGGTTTCAAGGTTATTAGAAGAAGATTATGTGTTGACCAAGGTGTTATTCAAGGATTTATCCAAAGATTGGTCATGTGAGAATTGAGGCTATTGCAAGCATGTCTTGAAGAAGAAGATTGTGTGAACATTCATGTTTACCTTCAAGACATCACCTTTATGAAGAGAGAAGATAAGATACAAGGTTGATCAAGACTAAGTACAAAGAGTGGATTCAAGTAGAAGATGTACCGAGTGGGTCAAGTGATCTCATGGTATGGTAAGCATTGTCCATTGCACTTTGTGTACTAACCCATGATCTTTGTGAAGTTTCTTTATAGGGTTAGGTGTATTTTCATGGGCTTGCATCAAGACGAAGATCTCATATAACCCATGAAGTATGGCATCAAGTGGTGATTGTCATCGAGGTTGTGTTATGCAAGTTCAAGTGGAGCATCGTGAAGAGATCTCGTGCTTGAAGCTTGCCATCCATTGTGGTGAAAATAGACATGTGAAGATGTGCCGAAGATAGGCTCACCCATAGTGGAGTATGGGGGATAAATCTACTAGTATTCATTGATCCAACGCAATTAAGAAAGGTGATCTAACTTGAGGAGGACGAGATCGCCATCACCTAGCTCAAATGGACTATGTGCAAGGCAAAGGTTTCTCATTGATATGTTTTCTACTTTACCGGTATCATAGTGTTAGTCGGGAGACCGGGTTATAGGATCGATGGTCGTATTATCAACGGGGGCTCTCAAGTGAGTAGCTTGACCGTATCGTCCGTAGAGATCTCAAACCATTACATCATTGGCATCATCTTTCTTGGTTCTTTTTTGGCTTTTCTCTATGTGAGTTTTGGAGCTTGTGGTCATCTTCAATGCAAGCTCAAGTTCATCGAACACGGATTTCGTATGCATCATCTTTTATGTTTTCAATGTTGGAGTTTATGTCGAATCTTCACTGATGGAGGTTTCACATCTCTGTAGCATTGGAATATTTATGTTGCCACTTATGAAGATTTCTAGTCATGATTTGACAGCTCTTGTCGTTAGCTTTCTATCAAGCTTGAGTTCATCGACATCACAGT